GTTCAGGCTTTCTTCTTCAGTGCACTTCAGGTGGAAGTGCACAGATTAAAGTCAATGTGCTTTTTTTGCTTGTTTTGTTTGTTTCTTTTGGTTTGTTGTTTGCAGTTGGTTTTCGTTTTGGTTTGGGGTCTTTCTGTAACTGTTTAAAAGGTGTGTTGATGTAACTAACAGTGCACGGGGGTATGGGAAAGGGAATGTAGCAAAATTCCTGTTGCATATGAAAGGTGTAGGTGAGACTTCGCCATCTCTGTTTTTACCCTTTACCTTCAGTTTATTTGGTAGGGATTCTGCCTAGCTTCTACTTCATTGGTTCTTACTTGTGGCTTATTTCTATAAGTGCAAAAATAGATTTTATACGCTGGAAAGTAAAAGTAAAATGTGTCAGTCAACTCTGTGTGATTGGAAGATCCTTCTACTGCAATATGATCCTAGTGCGTCTGTGAAAGTGATTTGAGAGGCCTGTGCGAGCAAAACTTGGAGCGCCTTCTGCTTCTTTCAGCAAGAGCTCTTTTATGTTGCAATTAGCCAAGAAATAGGTCTTTGTGAAAAGTGATCAGTAAGTGCCTTATGGGGATCACTTGTTGCTTCGTGGCGGGACAGAAGAGGCGCGTTCGTCTACCAGATGGCATCATGTCTACATGGAACATCACGTATTTCAAAAAGCCAGGTGTTGGAATTTGGACGATCTATTAAAAGTACTCAGAATTAGCCTACGAACCGTGAATAATTATCTAGGTCTCCATTTGTATAGCTGCCTTCTTCAGAGTATCTGGACACTTGAAAATGCTGCGCTCCAGTTTTAGTTACCCTGACGTGTCAGGCATCCTGGAGATGTCGCTCGCTTTGAGAATAGCGGGTGTTCAGCAGTGGAGCAGGACTTGCTGCTCAAAACTGCCGTCTCGTCCTTACTGTGTCCCAGAGGCCACGAGTCTTTCTGCCTTGGATGCCACGTGGATTTTCATATTCCTTCAGTTTGGAAGTGCCTCCATAGGGATAGAGCATTTCATGCATTAGTACAGAGCCGGTCCTTCACCTCCAGGTCCGGTGATTAAGTAAGGAGCCTTCTGCCTTGGCAAAGGTCTCTTTGGACAGAAGCTGTGAAGTGTCAAGAGTGGTGTTGACTGTTCTGGTTAAAAGCCTCCGTTCTGGCAGGACCTGCCTCGGTGTGAATAATGTGAGCTGGTTTCTACTAGCGTACGGTGCCACCTCTGCAAAGACCGGCCTCGCGTACAATTCAGCCCCCTCTGTCTGATATCTGCAATTTAAGAGGGGGGGCTCTAGGGCAAGTGGTGAGGGAAGCAATTAAGGAAACTCCAGCCCCAGGGTGTAGCTCTGCAGTTGTTCGGGTGAGGAGTTGGGCTGTGCACAGATTCAGCGGTACTGCCTTTCTAGAAGTGGGCCACTACTCACGCTGCTTGTGGAACTAGACAAGACGGGAGGAAAAAGCTTGAACTAGGTCTTTTTGCTGGCTGTTGGAGAAGAAATGATCCTTTGCCCAGCACGAAGCTGGCTGATGCAAAGCAAAACGCAACGTTTTTGAACAAATTTGAGTCTGCAGCAGGAGTCTGTTGGATCACTGCTGCGTGTCGTGAGGTAATACTGGTCTTGAGGTGGTGGTGTGAGCTGAAGGTAGGTCTCTTTTTTTTGTCTGTCATCAAACCGTTGGCTTAGCCAGGTCTTCTGAGATCCTGAGGGCTGGTCCCAAGAATTGCTGTGATGCTCTTACCTGAGCTGCAGGATGCTGGAGGCTGCAAGCATGGAGGGCGGGTCACCTGTTCTCTCGTGACACTCCTGCTTGCCGCAGAGGTTTCTGCCCAAACCTACCTTCTCTTCAGCAGCTTGGGCATTCAGCATTATGAGCCTATGTGCCTAAATAAAACCTTTTACTCACAGATGCTCCTCCTCCGAGGATGATGCAGGTAACTGCTGTAGTGGGTTGGTCACAGATCCTGTGTGGGGTTTCAGCATTGAAACCAGGAACGTTGGTGGTGTTACACTGCTGAAGGATAAGAGACTGCCATGTCAGCAGTTCATACCCCCAAGGGATATCTTTCCCCAGCTGTTTTCTCAGCGCTGTATAGACCTTGGCAGTGATGTCTGGCTGTGGGGTGCTCTTGTCATCCTCGCCCTGTCTGCTGTCCTGGAAGAAACCCAAAATGTCTCCCAACTCTTGAACTCATGACAGGTCACGGTGTGTGGGAGTGACATGAGGTGCTGTATCTGGCAGACGACTCTGCCTGCCTTGTTCTTTTTCCTGCAAGTTTTTCTTTCTTTTCTTATTCCATTCCATCTTTCCTTTTCTGCATGCAACATGTTCTGAGCTTACATTTGAGGCTGCACGTGCCTGCGGACTGCTCTGAAGGACTGTGGACTGTCCATGAAAAGTGATCAGAGAAAGGAAATGTGCTGTAAGGTCTAAATCCATGGTAGTGTGCCTACATCCTGCATGGAGCATGGTTCGACACCTGCAGATTATTAAAAAGGGGTGAATGCCACTGCTACAGAGAGAGAGAGAGAGAAAGAGAGACAAGGCTCCTTGCCCTGGTATCTGAACTGTTTATTTCTAGTGGTTAAACCTGATGTGGCTTGCTTGTGTTTATTTTCTGAACTTGAACCCAAGCATCTACGTGTGCCCAGCAAACTGGGGATGGGTCAGCTAGGGTGGACTTTCACAGCAGAACTGGGAACCCTCAAACCCTTGCGAGGGGTGTTTGTAGGCCATGTAAGGTCACCCCACGCTGTGCTAGCCTTGTCAGTGGCGATTGTGTGACTCCCCTTGCTTTGCTCCTGAGCACTGATGATCCAAGCAGCCTTTAAAAATTCAGGTGAGGAAAAAGTTGAAGCAATACTGAGGCTTTTACTCCTCAGCGTTATAAACAAAACCCAGACGCACCCCAGTTGCTGGGACTTCGCTGAAACCCCTTCAGCAAGACGCTGTTGAACTCAGGGACCTTTTATCTGTCCTAGCAGGGAGGAATCCTAATCAAATGCAGCCCAGTAGCACGCTTTAAGACACTTAACTTCAAAAGCATAGTTACTCTATAAACAAAAATGTTTGTAAACAACAATGTTCCTTTCTTTAAAAGAAAAAAAATCCAATACAATGGCAGCAACTTTTTATTTGCCTGAAGGTAAAGCAACTGCAATTTTGATACACTCCAGAGCCTGCTTCAGCTTTCTTTGCTCCTTGCTGAAATGTTTTGTGTGAATAGCTTTGATCTGAAAAAGGAAAAGCGCTACGGGCTTAACTCTTCGTGGTTGTCCCTGCTGCCACCTGCCCTGGGGGATGAGATGGGAATGACTCAGCGGAGTGTGGTAGTTGGCAAAGGGAAGGGATGGGCTGGGTTTGTCACTCGTTGTAGTTGCAGAGGCTGGAAAGAAAAATGGCTGGAAAACTGAGTGGCTGCAGAGGCCGGCAGGTCGCCGTTGCCAACGCGTTTGCGCAAGTTGCTATGTGTGTCTCAACACCAGGGTTCTGGAAAGTCCTGCAGGAACTAGAAGTAAAGGCTCTTTCCACTCATAAGCAGGTCATTGCTTGTTACCCCACATCAGCACTTTTTAACCCAACGCCCTGCACCTCCCCTTCCCTCCAGTCAAGCTGGGAGTGGAAATGCTGTGAAAAAAATCTCTTCAGGACTAACGTGACTCTGGGAGGCAAAGGAGAGGCTGAGGAACAAACCAGGGCTTCAGAGAGATGCAATGTCCCTACAGAAGGCAAGGCCTGCAGGCGATGGCAGCAGCTGAGGACACACGTGTACGCGTGGCTGCTTGGAGCAGAGCCCGCTGATTGCCAGACCTCCTCCTCAAAGCAAGAGAATGCTCTGGCTTTTTGCTCCGTGCTGTGGTTGGTTTCATCTTTGCTTTTCTCCCCAGCGTCATCCTTTGCTTCAGGCGGTTGCCCACCTCAGCAGGGGCTGTGGCAGCAGTAGTTCTTCTCATGGGCACCTCTGAGCGCAGCCCCATGGCGGTGCCGAGGCCCTCCAGCAGCAGCATCACGGCTCGCGTCCGGTGCACGTCCAGTGCTGGGGAGGCCGTGCCCAGCGCCTGGGCAAATGCCCCTCGCTGCCAACGGGGATTGCGCAAGTGCCATGTGTAGCGTGTGGCACTCGACGAGCCTGCGGCTACTGTAAGGCCACTGCATCCTGCAGGGCTGGACGGCTGAAGTCCATCAGAGCTCAGCTCCAAAATGGAGCTATCCTGGCTGTGGGTGCCTTGGGGGCTGGCCCACAGCTGTGAGCAACCATTACGCAGGTGAAGACTGTGTTGTGTCACCTGGTGTTTTGTGTTCATGACGGATCTCAGCACCAGCGCTCTAGTTCTTTCAGTACTCTGGTTTTGCCCCATCCCTCTTCTGTTAATAGGGATAACGTGTGCGTTTGTGCATCCCTGAGATGGGTCTTCCTGGGTGCGTAACTGGAAAGAAATTCTTCCCGGAGAGGGTGGTGAGGCACTGGAACATGTTGCCCAGAGAAGCTGTGGATGCCCCATCCCTGGAAGTGTTCAAGGCCAGGCTGGATGAGGCTTTGAGCAACCTGGTCTGGTGGAAGGTGTCCCTGCCCATGGCAGGGGGGGTGGAACTAGATGGTCTCTAAGGTCCCTTCCAACCCAAACCATTGTGTGACTGTGATCTGGGAGCAGCTACCCTCCATCTTCTCATTGGCACTTGAGTGTCCGTGACTTTTGGTAAGAGTTTATTGAAGTC